GTTTTGTAGCTCATCTGAAACCTTTCCACCATGGGTGACCCTGCTGGTTATTTAAAACACCGGTGGCATAGCCCTTAGAATCACAGCAACTCAAAACCACCACAGCACGACAGACAGACGAGTGGTGGCCGTTGAATAAGGACAATGAATAAGGAAGACTTATTCTGCATTGATGCATTTGAGTTATGGTTTTGGAAATAATGTTGAGTATATCTTAGATTGCCAAAAGAACAGTATCTTAGATTGCCGAAAGAACAGATCTGTGTTGGAAGACATACAGCCAGAATATTCCTTAGAAGCCCGGACGGCAAGACTTCGTCTCTCATGCTTTTGGACATGTTATCAGGAAGGGCCAGTCCTTGGAGAAGGACATTATGCTCAGTAAAATGGAGAGTCATCGAAAAAGAGGAAGACCCCAGCGAGATGGATGGACATAGTGGCAGCAGCAATGAACTGAAATGTAACAATTGTGAGGATAGTATGGAGTAGTGTTCTGCTGTGTTGTGCACAGGGTTGCTATTAGTAGGAATCGACTTGAAGGCACCTAACAACAACAACATAAATCAGAATTTCCTCAATGGCAATGGTATTTTCTTCTTTTTTGAATGCCTCCAATAGAGTTGCTATTACTACCAAATTACAAGGATGCTTTATCTGCATATGCTATAAGCACAGCTGTTTTCTTTGCTGCCAATGTTTTTACAGTTGCTCACTTTCTCAAGTTTTCTGGTGTTTTAGCTACAATATTGTGATAATTAGTATTTATGAACCTATACTAATAAGTGTGTTGAGACTAAAGTAGTAATTAAAGGAAAAGGGTAAACATCAAAAAGGTTTCTGTGGATTACCAATAATGTAATTCAATGAAAATTTTACAATTTTGTTATTGTCATATAATGTAAGAAATATGACATTTGAGCAATTTACAAGTATATTGATCACATTATTCTCTGATTTAAAGTGATACTGAATATTACCAAGGATTCAGTATGATCTGGTACACAAAGAGGTTCATGGGGGGAATGACATGAGTTACTGGCATGGTGATACATCAACTCTCATGGTACACTTCATCAAACCAAGACCTTTGTGGATACAGTTCATTCCCATTCACCTGAGCAATTTCCCTTAGTGAACAGGAAAAGGTAAAACATTAGCTTACTGCCTCCCCTCCCAGGAGAACAGCTAGAATGCTAATCAGGTTACTGAGGGAACCAATCTTCCATTTCCATCCTATCTTCAAACAGGTCCCCAATCTAGCCCCTCCTTGATTCTGACCCCACATAAACCTGTACTAACGTGTTGGGGAGGGGGCGGGTGTCAGAATCTGGAGAAGTTAGCTCCTCTGAGCCAGGCGGTTTACTAAAATCTCTTAACTCTGTTTCACCTCTCCCAGTGGCCTTGGTTTCTTCCGCAAGGAATCTAAAGCTGCTGTAACATTAGGACGGAGAACTGCCCCTTAGGGTTTCCAAGGCTATAATCTTGTGCTATCTGAGCCCTGCTGAGTCGTGGTGTGGCGCTGTGGGCTAATGCATCAGACTGCAAAGTCCTTTGAATTGCAAGGTCAGAGGTTCAAACCCACCAGCCGCTCCTAGGAAACCCTATACAGGGTCGCTGTGAATCAGAACCAACTTGACAACAGTCTTTACGAGGATTTATGAGGAAATAGTCCTGGTGGTGCTTGGCTGCTAACCGCATGGTGCGCGGTTCAAAACCACCAATCACTGGAGTGAGGGAAGGGGAACTGGATAAGTAGCAGTGTTTTTCATAAAGACTTACTCCTTGGAAACCCTATGGCGCAGCCCTATTGAGTCGCTATGAATTGGAATTTGACTCAATAGAAATGGGTATGGGTCTGGGGTCATCTTTACTGGCGACGACTGACACATCTTTCACCCTCGGAATGGTTCCATCGTTTAGTTCCAACGCCCACCTTTCGGTTAGCATCCAAGCGCCATCAGGGCTACTATTCCTCGTAAAGATTACAGGCTTTCAGCTCAGGGCCTGGTTTCTGTGCCACCAAAGCCTTCCGGCCCGGGAACCCACAATTTAGGAGCCAGAAGAGGCTCTGGTTACGAGTCGGGCTGCCAACCTCAAGGTCAGCAGTTCGAAACTACCAGCGGTTCCGCGGGAGAAAGATGAGGCGTTTCTGCTTCCGTAAAGATTTACAGCCTCGGAAGCCCTGTGCAGGGTCACTATGAGTCGGAACCAACTCCACGGTACTTATCAACAACAACAACACCCCACAACAGCGCCGCCCAGGCCCATCCCGCCCATCTTAGCAGCCCCAAGAATGGCCGCGCCTAGCGAGCGGAACTGAGAGTGCCGGCTCTCCTCTCAACGTCGCCCGCCCGGACTCTGAATTCCGTAGCACCCAGAGCCAAGAGGACTCTGTTTCTTAGTGGGCTTCCGGACGCGAGGTGCTCCACTGCCGCCTTCCGGCCGGAATTCCCTAAAACCGCAGCCTCCTGCGGGCCCTCCTTAGCTGCCACCATGGGGATCCTGGAGAAGATCTCGGAGATCGAGAAGGAGATCGCTCGGACTCAGAAGAACAAGGGTGAGATACAGCCCGGCGGAGCCTTCCTTTCTGCCCGCCTCAGTTTTCCTGTCTGCAAAATGGGGGAGCATCTCTAGCAGGAGTGGGCCCAAAGGCCTTGAAGACGTACCAGGGATGGGCCATCCACTGCTCCCAAGGCAGGCCAGGCGGGTCTCGAAGTCCCGGGGAAATCTCAAGCCAGGTTGGGTGACATACTTGAGAAATTCCAGCTCACAGAGCAAGCGGTGGTCCAGAGAGAGGCAGGCTCTGGTTCCAATCTGGGTTTCCTGGTGGTCAAGCCAGGGGACGACCTCTCTCTGGAGCAGCCGCACCGTAGCTGGGAGCCCTCGAGGGAATCAGCCTGGGATTGAACCCAGCTGTGAAACCTGGGACACTCACCCCTTTGAGATTTCAATTTCCTCATCTGCAAATGAGGATAATAACCCTTTGCCCACCTTGGTGGTGGTGGTTATGTGCCAGGGAGTCGGTTCCGACTCACAGCGACCCATTAGGTAGCGTTTGCAAAGTGCTGAGTGCATGGTGAACATTCAGTATTTAAACACACCCCAACAGAGATAGCACATAATAAGTTCCAAATTTGAACTTCAGATTATAAGGATTGCAGGAGTTTAGAGGAGAGGGGAAGTGAGACGTTCGAGAACACTGGTGAAACCCAAGAACGCTTCCAGGAGGAGGCCAAATTTGAGCTGGTTGTGGGAAGGTATTCCAGGTGAAGGGCATTGCTGAGACAACTCATAGCAGTCCAGTGAGTGTTTATGGACAGTTAGGTGAGCAGCAGGAGAGTCTGTAGGTCTGGTGGTAAGGGGATGCGAAGAGCTCCATGCCTGACTAGTCCTGTTGTGCCGTTCAGCCTGACAGGATGCCTGTCCACCATTCAGGGCTGAGGACTGAGGACTCAGGATACTTTGTCCCAGCATTTTCTTCCATAAAACTTTACTGAACCCTTACTATGTATTTCTGGTGTGTCTGTGAACCACAAGGTCGGTAGTTCAAACCCACCAGCTCAGAAACCCTATACCAGGTCGCAGTGAGTCAGAAGTGATTCGACGGCACTTACCAACAACAGCAGTGTAGTAGGCACTGCAGTAAAAGCAGTAAACAGCAGGCACGTATGTACCTGCCCTCATGGACAGGCTGTAGATAATAATAGCCAAATAAGCAAGATAATTTCACAGTGATAAATGCTGTGATGATAAACCAGGGTGTAACAGCAGAGGGTTTGGGGTGGAGGTGGGGGACTGGATGGAGTTTTCCACTTAGATTGCATGATGAGGAGAAAAGAAAGACCCCTATATGGGTTGAGACTCAGTAAGTAGAAGGAGCCAGCCAGGTAAAGATCTGGGGAAAGGATGCTCTTGGCAGAGAAAAGCTACTGCAAAGGCCACAGGCAGAACTGAGCTTGGCTGTTCAAAGATCAGAAGGTCTGTGGCAGGCCACAGGGAAGATTCTGGGTTATGTTCTAAGAGCAGTGGCAGCGTCACCTGTAGGGGGCAAAGGGAAGTAGTAGAGTGGAATGGGGTGGGAGCAGACATGTTGCAACTTTATCCTAGATAGTGGCAGTGGTGAAGAAAAGAGGTATACCGGTGATTGAGACCAAGTCCTTCTCAGAGGTGGTCAGAACTTTAGGAGCTGAGAGGATAGGACTCTAGGTGCCTGAGTGTTGCCATTTTAGACTGGGACATTGACTTGCTAAAGCATTTCCTGAGCACTACTCTATCAGACAAGATACTGGGGATACACCTGGAACTTCTTGTTGTTGGTAAGTGCCAGCGAGTCGGTTCAGACTCATAGTGACCCTGTATAAGGTTCCCAAGTAGCAGCTGGTGAGCTTGAACTGTCAACTATGAGCTTCAAACCCACCTTGCAGTCCAGTGCATTATCTCACAATGCCACACCAAGACTCCCATTTCCTGCCATATTGGAGATGCCTAAAGAAACAAGATTGTTTCAAATTATGGTAAGTGCCATGAAGGCAATAAATAGGATCTCAGTCCCAGACAAGCATGATTAATTATTGAGTTGTTAGGTGTTTAGTGGGCTCCAACTCCTGTTGACTTAAGTGTAATAGAAGGTAATATTACCTGGTCCCTTCACAGTCATTGGTATGCCTTCACAGTCATTGGTATGCGTAAGTTCTTTGTTGAGGCCACTGTGTCAATCCATCTCATTTAGGATTTTCCTCATCTTCGTTGATGTTGACTTTACCAAATGTGATGTCTTTTAGGGGTCTTCCTCTTTTTTGTTGACCCTCCATTTTTCCAAGCAGGATGTCCTCCAGGGAATGGTCCCTGCTGAGAGACAAAGTCTGACCATCCTAGCTTATTCTAAGGAGCATTCTGGATGTCCTTCTTCCAAGATAGGTTTGTATGTTCTTCTGGTAGCCCATGGTACTTTCAATATTGTTTGCCATCACCATAATTCAAAAGCATCATGCACATGCATGTAATGTGATTGAAAATACCATAGCTTGGATCAGGAGCACCTTAGTCCTCAAACTGACATATTTGCTCTTGAATACATTAAAGAGGTCTTGTGCAGCACATTTGCCTCATGCTGTTATGTTGCTTGATTTCTTGACTGCTCCTTCCATGAGTGTGATTGTGGATCCAAGCAAAATGAAGTCTTGACAACTTTGATCTTTTCTTCATATATTGTGATGCTATTTATTAGTCCAGTTGTGAGGATTTTTGTTTTCATTGAGGTGCAGTCCATACTGAAATTGGAGTCTTTGATTTTCATCAGTATTTTAATCCTCCTTCCCTTTAGGCAAACATGGCTGTGTCATCTGCATATTTCAGGTTATTGATTCTCCCTCCAATCCTGATGCATGTTCTCCTTCATATAGTCCAGTTTCTCGGATACTTTGCTCAGCATACAGATTGAAGATGTATGGTAAAAGGATACAACCCCGACACACGCCTTTCCTGATCTTAAACCATTCAGTATCCTCTTGCTTGATGTTCAGGTTCTTAATGAGTGCAATAAAGTGTTCTGGAGTACCCATTCTTTGCAATGTTAACCGTAGTTTGTTATGATTCACACAGTCAGTAAGGCACAAATAGACATCTTTCTAGTAGTCTCTGCTTTCAGACAAGGTCCATCTGACTTTAACAGTGATATATCCTGTTTGGTAAGGTGGAGGGTCAAAGAAAAAGAGGAAGACCCCCAGCAAGATGGATTGGCCAAGCGGCAGCATCGATGGACTCAAGCATGGCAACAATAGTGAGGTTGGCCCAGGATCGGGCAGTGTTTCGTTCTGCTGTGCGTAAGGTCGCTATGAGTCAGTACCGACTCGATGGCACCTAATAACAACAACAGCTCTCATTCCATATCTTTTTCTGAATCTAGTGTGAGTGTCTGGCAGCTCCCTGTTGATGCACTGTTGCAATCATTTTTGGATTGTCTTCAGCAAAATTGTATTTGCATGTAATATTAATTTTACTGTTTGATGATTTCTGCATTTTATTGAGTTCCCTTTCTTTGGAATGGGCACAAATAAAAATCTCTTCCGATAAGTTGACCAAATAGTTGTCTTCCACATTTCTTGACATAGATGAGTGAGTGCCTCCAGTGCTGCATCAGTTTGTTGAACATTTTCTACTTGTGTTCCATCGATTCCTGCAGCTTTGTTTTTTGCCAGTGCCTTCAGGGCAGCTTGGAATGCTTCCTTCAGTACCTACCATATGACACTTGATCATATGACGCCTCTTGAAATGGCTGAGTATTGACCAGTTTTGTTTTGTTTTGTTTTCGGTACAGTGACTGTGTATCCCCTTCCATCTTCTTTTGATGCTTTTTGCATCATTCAGTATTTTGCCCATAGAATACTTCAGTATTGCAAGTCAAGAGTTGAATTTTTTCCCACATGTCTTCCAGCTTGAGAAATACTGAGCATAGTCTTCACTTTTGCTTTTCTAACGCCAGGTCTTTGCCCATCTCATTATAATACTTTGTCTTCTCAAGTTGTCCATTGAAATTTTCTGTTCAGCTTTTACTTTCCTTTTTTTTCCATTTGCTTTAGCTTCTCTATGCTCAAGAGCAAGTTCTGACAATCATTTTGATTCTTCCTTTCTTTTCCTGCCTTTACTGACCTTTGGCTTTCTTCCTGTATGGTGTTCTTGTTGTCATCCCACAACTCCTCTGGTCTTCAGTCAATGTTGTCTAACACATCAACTCTGTTCTTGTGATGATTTTTAAATTCAGGTTGGATATATTCAAGGTCATATTTTGGCTCTCCTGGAGTTTTTTTTTGTTTTTTATAATTTTCTTTGACTTCACCGTGAACTAGCATATGAGTAATTGATGGTATGTATGTTCCACAGTCTGCCCTGGCCTTGCTTTTGCTGCTGATGTAGAACTGTTCCATCATCTCTTCCCACAACAGCAGCAACATCAACACAGTACACTGAGGAAACATTCTTGGATGTCTTGGGAGACATAAACCGTTGTTAGCTGTGCAGGACTGACACAGACCTTGTGAGGCAGCCGGCTTCCCTGGTCCCCTATCTGGTGGATGCTAGCAGAGAACTTCACAGAAAACATTTCCTGATAATTCCAGAGTGCCCTAGGAATGACACTGCCCCTGCTGAGAACCACTTACATAAGGTCGTGAGGTTTTGCTAAAGGAAGTAAGAAATGGGGGCACTTTAAGCAGCGTGTGCCCTGTCCTTGACAGTGATTGCTCTCTGGTTCTAATGTTTGTCACCAGCCCCTGCTCACACGTGGGACATCACCTGATGGATGGGGCCTGCGTATCCTGGGCACTAAGGTTCTATGTTTTGCTTTTTGCCCTTTAGCCACTGAGTATCACCTGGGCCTGCTGAAAGCCAAACTTGCCAAGTATCGGGCTCAGCTCCTGGAACCATCTAAATCAGCTTCATCTAAGGGAGAGGGCTTCGATGTGATGAAATCAGGTGACGCCCGTGTGGCACTGATTGGATTTCCCTCTGTGGGTAAGGTCAGTGATGGCCACTGCCCCTTTGGTGTGGGCTTTGGGAGGAGGGCAGGAGGTCATCTCCTTTCATACTACCTACACCTCCCCTCACTGCCTTCCTGGATTTGCTTCAGGGACAGAGAAGATCCAGCACCCTTCCACCCCAACCAAGCTTTGGCCTCCCATCCTACCCTCATGCAAAAACATGTACTGAGTGCACCTCATGTGTAGGCATGGGGCCAGGTGCCAGAGATATGGGGACATGCAAACCAAGACCCTGCCCACACAGAACTCACCTCTTTGGGGAGAAAGGGCAGTAAACAAATGAAGTAAAAGACCTGGCCCCACCAGTGCTACAGGGAGAAGGTGAGTGGTGAGCATGAGGCCCCGTTAGTTTATGTAAGCAGGTCCAGGAAGTGTCGTGAGCAGTAAGGTGGTGAGCAGAGGCCTGAAGGAAGTGAGGGAGCTAGCAGATTCCTGGATGGAGAACATGGCAAGGCAGAAGGAGGAGTGAATGCAAAGGTCCTGAGGCAGGAGCTCACTTGGTGTGTTAAGGGGTTGGGGTGGCTGCACCCAATGAGCACAGTGGGTGGTAGGGGAGGAATCAGGGTGGAGGCCTCATGGACCACTGGAAAGACTTGGGCCCTCTGAGTAAAGAGGGAGCTGTTGCAGCTTTCCTTCTACAAGGTTTCTCCTACAAGCTTCAAAGATTAGCATAAGATCCATGTTGTTTTTAGTTTTATATGGAGGGTCATTTTAGAGCTTTGTGCAGGAAAGAGAAATGAGCTGACTTATTAAAAATAATAATAATAAAATAACTATTTTAGGACAATTTTAGATTTACAGAAAAATTGCAAATATAATACAGAAGGTTTTCATAGGCCCCACACACCAAGTTGTTAGTTAACATCTTAATATGGTACATTTGTCACAACTAATGCACCAGTGCTTATTCATCACAATTAACTAAAGGCTAAGTACTGGATTGCTAATCACAGGGTTGGCAATTGAAAACTGTCAGCCACTCGACAGGAGAAAGGTGAGGCTGTCTGTTGTTTGGATTTAGAGTCTGGACCACCCTCCAGAGCACTTCTGCTCGGCTCGGCTCTGCTCTGTAGGGTCGCTATGAGTCAAAATCAATTCAGTGGCAATGACACCAAATGACTCTAGTTGTCATGTTTCCTTAGGTTCCCCTTGGTTGTAACAGGTTCTTAGAATTTTCGTTGTTTGTTGATTTCCTTGCTCTCTGACTCATTGTGCGCATCCCCTCCACCACCACACATAAACACATACATGTGTGATGAAAGTGGAATCATGCCTGTGTCTGTCACTGGCACTTTTGCTCATACCATGGACATCTATCAGTTCTTAACTGTAGATGGTGTGTTTATAGCTTAGTAACAGCTCTGTGGCTTCATCCCCCACCAGTGGCTATGTAGGGCGTTGCCAGTTTTCTGCTCTGCTATATAGTGCTGTGCTAAACTTCTCATTCCATTGTCTTTGTGCCATGAAGCATGTGTCTCTGGAGCCAGCAGTCCTAGAAGTGAAGCCATTGGTTCAGGAATCTGTGTGTTTTGAAAAAGCCCTTGTCTCCTCCAAAGAAAGCCTAGTTGGTTTCAATGGGAAGAAAACAGTATTTCCTGGTGTCTGCTCGCTTCCTCAGTACATGTTGACCTTATGTCAGAGCCGGTCTGTGTGCTAGGGCAAGTGCACTTCTGATCCGGGGATCGGTTTATTATTACACAGATTCAGAGACTGTAGCTTACTGAAGGAATTACTTAGTTCCTGATCTTGGTGGAAGGAGTAGGTTTATTAAAGGGCCGGTTCTATGGAGGTTTAGGGGACCTTCTACAGCAAGAAGAGTATAAGCACAGAAAGCTTCTAAGCTCGTCTTCAGCCTATATAACTCATTGGAATACCTAAAAGGGATTCTAGAACTGGCCCAGTGAAATAGGCTTCTTGAGGAACCTTCGTAGTGTACAGGACCTTAGGTGGAATCCTGAGCCCTATCCAGAACCTTCTGAGGTGGGACATCCCCACTTGAAAGGACGAGCAGACCAGCCTGGAGCTGCTAGAAGAACAGAAGATACTTCCTGAAAGAAAGACCAGCAGGAAAACAACAAAAACAAAAATGCCAGCCTGTTTGGTTATTACAAGAACAAGCAAGTTGTTCACTGGGGAGCCATCAAGGGTAGTAGTCAAGTTCCTTCAGGACAAACCCCCTCCACAACTGAAACTCAAAGGGAACACACGAGCAGGCACATAAGCTAGCTGGTGACTATGTCGGCCTACATGTGAGTGGAAGTGGAAAGTCAGTAATGAAGATACGGGTTAAGTTCAACCACGCTCCATAGACTCCTGTCAACGTCAAGATGAGAGAGAGAGAAGGGGAAGGGCTGATTGGTCCTAAGTTTGGGGAGACTTGGGAACTCCTGAATCCATGAACATTGACCTAGCCACAGAGGGCTAGAGCTGAGAGTGAAACATCCAACTGATATGAAGTGAGGGGAGACACACAAGAATGCTTAAACTTGCAGATAGTACCCATTGGACTAGCTTCGATGGCTTGATGACTAGAGGAAGATAAAGAAATTTGATCAAGTAAGCAAATGTAAATTACTACTATTTGATGAACTTGACCTATACTTATGGCTGTAGTAGCTCACAATACCAACTGAGAGGGAAGGATTCTTCAAATCAAGGATCAAACCTATCCCCTCTGTAAACAGGGTTCATAGGGATGGGCAACTTAGACATTAATTACCTAAAATAAGGTGGGGGGGAGGGGGCTATAAAGGCATGAAGTGGCTGGCTTACAAGTTTTCAAGAGGGAGTTTCGTTTCAGAGTGAGCCGGGGAAGGTAGAATCCCCACTGAATAGTTTTCTTATCTAGATGGGTTTGGTGAAAGGAGATTGAAATAGGATTCATTGATTTCAATAGTGAGTAATTGTTATTGTACCTAATTGTGATTGTCACAGTGGTAAAGGTAGAAGTTGTGTAACATAAAGGGGGAAGTAGTTAATCTTATATTCCAGTAATAGAGGACCCTAAGACAATCAAGGGAGGGGAGCATGAGCAGAATGTCGGACCCTATCCAGAGAAGCAGTGACACCAGAGATGGTGATGGCATGGAGAGAGAGAGCAGCTGAGGACTCCATACTCATGGAAAGAGAAAGGCTGTATGCTGGCAGCCAAGAGGCTGGCTTGCAAAAAGTTCCCTTGGAAGTTTAAATGATTTTGTATTCCTGCGTGGTTTTGTGTATATCAGGAAAAATATAAAACAGGGAATAGGAATACAATACTGTTAACCAACGGTGCATAGAGGGGATTGTAATCATTGCAGTGAAACGAAATACAATAGGATGAGTGCAAAACTGATGTTCTCCCATGTAAGCTATCAGTAAATTCACAATAAAAGCTTGTGTTTTTTTTTAATGTTTTATTGTGAATTATGTGATAGTTTACATTGGAGAACATTAGTTTTACATTCATCCTGTTGTTGTTGGTGTTGTTGTCAGGTGCCATCGAGTCGGAACTGACTCATAGCGACCCCATGCACAGCAGAACGAAACAATGTTCGATCCTGGACCGACCTCACTACCGCCGCCACACTTGAGTCCATTAATGATGCCACCTGGCTGATCCATCTCGTTGGGGGTCTTCCTCTTTTTCTCTGACCCTCCACCTTACCCAGCATGACATCCTTCTCCAACGATTGTTTTCTCCGGACAATATGTCCAAAGTAGGAGAGACGAAGCTTAGCCATCCTGGCCTCCAAGGAGCACTCTGGCTGCACTTTTTCCAAAACAGATCTATTGGTTCTTTTGGCAGTCCATGGCACTTTCAGTATTCTCCTCCAACACCACAACTCAAAGGCATCAATTCTTCTACGATCCTCCTTATTCACTGTCCAGCTTTCACATCCATATGAGGCTATTGAAAACACAATGGCCTGGGTCAGGCGCACCCTAGTCCTCAAGCTGACATCTCTGCTCTTCAACACTTTAAAAAGTTCCTGTGCAGCAGATTTGCCCAGTGCAATACGTCGTCTGATCTCTTGACTGCTACTTCAGCGAGTGTTGATAGTTGATCCAAGAAGAATGAAGTCCTTGACAACTTCAGTCTTTTCTCCATTGATAAGAATGTTGTTTATTGGTCCAGTGGTGAGGATTTTTGTTTTCTTGACATTGAGATGTAATCCATATTGAAGGCTGTGCTCTTTAATCTTCATAAGTAAATGTTTCAAGTCCTCTTCACTTTCAGCGATCAAGGTTGTATCATCTGCATATCGCAGGTTGTTAATGAGTCTTCCTCCAATCCTGATGCCACGTTTTTCTTCATAGAACCCAGCTACATTCATCCTATCGTATATCATTTCATTGCTATGGTTACAGTCCCCTCCATGCATCATCAACCATTCAAAGGGTATATACTACAAGCATGCCCCTTGGTCGTCAACACACAGCCCCTCTCCCTCTCTGTGTCTAAAGTCCCCATCAGCTCCATCTCTCCATGTCATCATCTCTGCCTCCATCTCCGGCATCACTGCTTCTCTGGGTAGGGTCCTGCTCTCCGCTCTTCTCCCTAATAAAAGTTTTTTAATAAAAACTAAATAGACAGAAGAGTAGAAGCATGTTCTTTGGGCCCAGGAGCCCTGTGCTGAGAACCACCTGGGAGAGAGCTGTAACGCTGATGACTGCAAGAGATGAATCAAGACAGATGCAGCAGCCCCAGTGATAGCAGTATGAGAGGCAGGAAATGGGAGACTGGGGCAAGACACCTGCAGTAGGCAAGACAGAGAAGGCCTACCTGCAGGCATGACTGAGAAGCTGAGACAGCTCCTGTTTGGAAGCTGTACTGATGGAAGAGCTGTCTCCTGTCTCCTATTCCCTAATGAACTACATAATTTTGAGTTCTGTGTGGTCATTGCAATGAGTCATCAAACCCAGCACAGGACTAAAGTGCTCTTGGGATGCCAGCTGGTGTCAGAAAAGGTGAGAAAGTTGAAGAGTTGAGTTACATT